ACCTCTTTGTAATCACAATAATAAATAATGTAACTGTATGCAAGAACCATAAAATAGAACATAGCTGAACTTGAATATTTGAGGATAGAGTTCAAGATGGAAAGTTAATATCCTGACATAAGTTGATTAAATACCATAGGGTATAATTGCTATTTTTTTCTTAGTACATTTGAAAAGAAAAGGTGGTTTTATAGAATAAGATATGAAGGACTGTTTGTAACTGCTATATTCTCCTGCAGGTTGGGAAGAAGGGTGAAGTGCGATCACCTTTCCACCGTGGAGTCTGGAAGAACTTCCAAGATTTACTTAACTGGCAATGCTTTGGTCTCCTCAAACCAGACAAAACAGACTGGCTTCACATATATACCCTCTCTGAGTCAGCTGAAGATAAACAACCACTTCTTTCTCAGTCAGACATGTATCAATATGTTTAAATTCTGACAGTCACACTGGAGAGTTACAAGTGAAATTTGAACTGATCTGACATACTGTCATTCTGCTTTTTATATCCATCCATTATTACATTTACTATTTCATATCTAGGAAGAAGTTAAATTACCATACCATTACTCATTATCTGTTATAGGTGTGGTGCATGAATGGATTTTTCTGTTTGTTAACTTTCAAAAACTTTATATTTGAAGTATGATAGAAGAAAAGTAGATCTCTTTAGATGTGTCAGACTTGAATTAATCTTCTGTATGTAACTTCTATTATCTTCTTTGTACTTCTACCTACAAAACAAAGATAGTAACATTGCTATAAAACTTTTTGTATTTTGACTTTGATTGATATAAATATATAGTAAATGTACTAAATGTAACATTCCATATAGAATGACAGATTTCTCTGGCTCTCTATAACTCCCTATTTACGGAAAAGAAGAGCAGATATAGAAGGGTTTCAGCTGTTACCAAGAACATAGTACCAAAGATCAGAGTCAGAAATCCAAGGTATTTTAAGGTATAGTCAACTAGTCACAAATATTCCATTATTTATATAACCCTTGGCCAGTTGTCTCTTTTTATATTTGTAAGATGTTGTGAGGACACCAAAGATGAGCTCCAGTGTATTGCCTGCGGTGTGCAGCTTTCATTCATGGCTTGTTTGCTCAATTTGCATTTTTATAATTGTGTGATTTTATTTTATCGTGTAAAGAATAGATTGACGTTAAATGTGTGAACAAAAGCGACCAGTCATGATGGATGAACTGATTGAAGGTTGAGACTGCAAGCGTTTTCAGCAGTTGAATTGAGACATTGATTATTTGAGATAGGAAGTTGGGAGTTTTGACTATCATTTTCTATACTTTGTTCATTTTATGTGAGACATAGAAACTAATATGTTGTTTTGTAAAATAGATGATGTGCAGCTTAATACTAATGGCCGAAATAAAGTATGTTCGTATATAATACAGTACAATCATATCATATATTTTGAGTGATACACAATCTGTCTGATATCCCATTTTTTTATAGTGTAGGTAATGAGCAGTTATTAGTCATAACTCCAAACAAGGCATCTTATTTTGTAGGACAATCATTTGTATAGAGTTCACTGTGTCTTTTTTATGCCATTCTTGGAGGTGGTTTCATTTTATTGTTACTTTTAGATAGCTGTTTAGACTATACCAGGTCAAGATAATGCCTTTTTCCTTGTTTATGGTAATATGATACAGTATTTTTATAAACTGCATTATTTTACATTTTCATTTATTTAAAGCATTTGAAAACCTTTTATCTTAAAGGAAACATGAGAATGTCAGAAAGCCAAGGAGCTAAGTAAATGTTCAGAATTTAGGGGTATAATTTTCCAACTGGTAATGGATTCATTTGATATTAGGAAAGAATCCTCCTCATTTTCATAGAAAAGTGACTGTTAAATGTTGCATATTCAATTGAAATGAGAGACAATATTTTTTCTCTTCCATTTTCCTATTTATTTTGCATTTTGCCAATTGAAATGGTATTTTAGACAACTAATGAGAAGTTCTATGAGCCAAGTATCAAAGGTTTAGTGTCCTTATTGTATACAGCTACTACTGTAGCTTTTGAGGTTTATTTGGCTACACAGGCATATGGTTAAGTATTAAATGGTTAACATCTTTATGAATTGCAACAATAAAAAGATGAAATATATATATTCTGTAAATAACTTGTATTTTAGAAATGTCAGTAGAACTGCAGTTTCCAATGCTGGGACTTTTCATGAGGTAAAAGGGAAGAAGTTATAGCACAAATTTTTTTATGTAACAAGGCATTGATATTTATGAATGTAGTAATTTTGTGACACAAAGATATAAAAAAAATTGTGCAAAAGATGTATTACAGCCCATCTTTATATTGTAGCAAAGGCAAATTATTATAAGCTTATTGCATTTAGATATTGAAAACATTTGCCATAGTGAATGAGAAATTCACCTTTGATTCAATTTTTTTTTTAGCAAGTGGGATAATGGTTGCATCTAATGTTTCTGCATAAATTAAGATTTGAAAAAGGAAGAGAATAAACAGATCCAAATCCCTAGTCATGCATTTTGAATGATATTCTTAATTTGCAGTGAGTACTTGCTGATTGCCTCAAAAGCTTTACTGTCATGGTTATAAGTCAGATGAATTATGTTTGTTTGATATGAAAATTCCAAAATTTGTCATGAATTTTTGCAATTTAAGGAAAAGTACTTTCATTCCAGTTTGTTAATTTATAGTAAACAGAATGTTTTTTTGTTTTGTTTTTTTAAACAAGAGATCTATATTGGTACTTTTTCAGTAAATTTTACAGAAAAATCATTAAGTACTGTTAACAGTAAGGTTATTTAGAAATTTTGGTTTTGCTTGTTTGTTTTGCCATTTTTCCCTGCAGCCTCATCATTGTAGAGATAATTATACTTTTTAAAATTAAGTTTGTTTCCATAGTTATCGTAAAGTAATTCCTTTCATTTTATTCCCACATTTATCATATAGCAATTCCTTTTGAAGTTTTCAGTTGTTTTCCACAGTTTGGTCAACAAGTTTAAAGTAGAGACTGAATTTCTAAGAACCCTTGCACAAGTTTATGATAAAAAAATATAAGGGTGAATTGAGGCTGTAGAACATTCCGAGAAAATAATTCCATTGTTATTCTAAAAGAAATGAATTGTCACAATTACAGGTCTTTTGTGAATACAAATATTCCTTTTTAGAAATATCTTTTTTTTTTTCTTTAAGTATTGAAAAGTTGTTTTATTGTGCTGTCAGAAATGGTTTCATTGGTTGTGATTTAGTTTCTATTTTGTTAAGCAGATATGTAATAGTCATTAGTCATCATAAAAGTGTTTGAACAAATGTGATTGATCAGTCTTATGTCATGCACTTCCTTGTTCATAATAATAGGGATAGCAAGGATGGTGCCTTTTTTCGAAGGACTTATATAGGCAGGTAGACTTTCAACCAGTGTCTAGAAACATGTAGGTTACACAGTTTCGACACCATTTGTTGATTAAGATTGCTTTAAATTTTTATCTTTGAGTTTGGGTATATTCAATAACTCAAATGCATTTCATAAGGTGAAATTTGTCTGTGATGCACTATGTTCCTTCAGAGATATAATGGCAAATAAATTACTATGACTTGGTGTAATATTTTTATAGGAGGCATTTGGCAACAATGACTAATGAAACTAATCAGTACAGAGGGACATGCAGGGATTAGTAGACCAGTATTGAAAAAGACTCCCATATTATTGGATTTACTTCTGTATCTTTATCTTGTCTGAAGAAAAAATTAGGTTAATGTTACAGACCTTCATGTTTTGTTGTTCAGGCTATGTACAACTGTGTAATGGTATTCAACTGTAATTGTTCAATATGTTTTGCTCTTTTCATAAAATGCTTTCATTGTAATTAGTTGCTAAACATATTTGCATGCATGAAAGCTGACACACACAGGCTAGAGGAAACTTAAGATAATGCGACACAGGAATTGCCAGTACCCATACATATATACTTACTACATGCACATGTGCTATCCCTTTCTTCCTTTCTCCCTCTTCCTCTCTCTCCCTTATACAAATACACACATATTTAGAAAGAAGGAGAAACCATTATTAGTAGTACAGTAATGCAGTTGCACATGTGGAGTGTTCTGTAACTGTTTGTATTTTCAATGCCTATACAATAAAATTGTGAGATACTTCAACCTTTTTGTATAGAATTTGTTTGCATTTTGTGTCTAAGCAGCACAACACAACTTGGACACTACATTGAATGAATTATGTGACTTTTGTCACACATGTTAACAAAAGGTAAATATTTTATAATGCAGTTAGTATTTTTATAGGGGATTATGCATGATGGAGGAACAATTAATTTTTACAACTTAAGAATGTTGTGAAATATGTAATAATACTCTTGTTCATGTTTAAATGATATCTTAATGTAAGTATTCTGCACTTTTCAAGATAATGATGGTCTGATTTTTAATAATAGAATACAATGCCCTTCTAAATGTAGTGTTATGACCTACCTTGCTGTGCTTTGACTTCAAAGTTGAACCAAAATGGTTACAAACAATAACTTCCATGTTCTGTATTGCTTATGTGTATGTCAGCTGGTGATTGTTTGCACAACAATATTATCCATATGAATGTAAATAGTTATGTGACTCCTCATAAACTGCAGGTGTTTAAGATTTTGTACATAGTCATTATTTATTGCCAATGCTTCACCTTCTCATATCAGTCATTCATTTTTATCAGTACTTTGATTGACTGTTCAAGTAATGAACAGCGGAAGCACTGGATCACACTATGCAATGTTTAAGTATGTTGATGTGGTAAGATTAGATACAGTAAGCTTAAGATAATAGTTATGCAAGGCGTATATGGCTTTATGTACAGGCAATTTACTCATACACAGAACCTCCCTTAGCTTAATGGAGATATTAGAAATAATATTAGTATGAATATTGATCTGTAAAAATCTATAATTAGTTAACATTTACAGTATATGATTTCAAAAAGTCTAATCCCTATTATATCCCATAGAGGTAGCGTTAAGATAAAGAGTAAAAATCTTAACATGGAATTGATATTACCGAAAAGATCTGGTCTGTAAGATTAGTGACTTTCATGATTTTCATTTTGTAAGTGCCTTGACATGTATCAGTCTGGTATGTCCAGAAGATTCATAAGTAATGGAGCAATTAAAAATCAATGCCTTCATGATTATTTATCAAGTGCTTACGGATTATGATCTTGTCATAGTTGATGGTCTTTGTCCCCCCAAACTTTATATTAGCCATCGTATCCTACCTCCACTCCCTCTGCTTTAAGGAAGTGATCAGTTGCACAAATGCTTATATTTTATTTGCAGTTTTCACTCTGAAATCAATGTCATATTTTTCCTCATGTACATAGCTATCAGTCATTCATCTTGTATTGGAACTTTAGGATAGTCAGTAAACTCACATTATGAATCTGTTTTTTTTCTTATCCTTAAATATGAAATTTTCTGTTGATTGTCAACAAAGTTTGGTTCCATTGTAGACATGATGTTTAGCCACACATTGATACAAAAAGGAAATTATTCATATTAAGTAATGATTTAACAGAACTATATGAATATCTCAAGTTAATTAAAAGATGACTTCAATAACATAACTGGTTAATGTTGAAAATTAATATTAAAATAGGAAAATAGTTAAATCAAAGTTCAATTCCATCACATTTTAATTTACATTGTGGTATTTATTGGCAAGGTATGTTATTAAACTTATTAACCTCATATTTACTTTGTTCAAAAAAGGAAATAGTTTGCAACACCTTATTTAGGTTACAAAATCTTAACTTGAGTAAGCACACCTGTCAAATGTAAAACCAAAGAAATTATGACAGGAAACATCAATATTTGATTACAAAGATACTAAAACATCTTAATCCTCTCTAATATAATAATACACATTCACATTTTGTAGAGGACAGAGGACGACAGCAAAACTCTTAATGCAGTGTTTCCAAATTTGTCGATTTTCTGCAGATAAACTGGGCTGGAAATATTTTATTGATTCATAAAAGACAGTTTAATGTTCATTAATAAAGAAAACAAGAACTAAATTCACTGCTTAATTTCCTCTGATTAATCATTTGGAAACTGCTAAAATTCAATGATGTACTTATGTTGGGATTGTATGGCATATGGCCACAAAGAATTTACTTACCCACATGAACCATGCACTATGAAAGGTGGAGAACAACTATTCATATAATCAGTTCAATTCAGTGAGATCTATGTGGCCTGGCCTGTGTCAGCTATTTAGAACTGTCAATTCTGGTAATTTGCGGTGGCCAGATTACCAGAAAGCACTCCAGACTCCACAGTGTAAGCAAGAGCTATAATCTTCTCACCAGTCTGATGGTTGTGGTGGGTGAGCCTTGTCTTAAAAAAATTGATTGTGATCGCACCTCTGTAGAACCAGAGGCCACATTACTTTCAGCACCAGAGTACCATCTGGTTTTGGGGATAGTTCTCACTTGCTCTCTATAGTTGCCTGCCCTGTGGCTCTGGCTCTTGGTTAGGCTGAATGGTAGTGGGATTTGGGGGCATACCCATGTTAGTCTCAGCTAGTCTCTCAGCAAGCTCATTTTCTCTAATGCTAATATGGCTAGGGACCCAATTTATGATGGCTCTTCTGCTCTGAGCAAGAATCATCTGAATTATGGTATACACAGTAGTCGGGAGGTAGATATTGCCACTGGCTGCTTTGAAATCTGTGTGCACACATACTCTTCACTCTAGGATGCAGATGTCTAAAAATGATCTTGGCACTGAACTGTTCCACAATTAGATCATTTCAGGTGTCCAGAAGGGTTGCCTCTACATGAATGTTGAGAAATTTTGTAAACCTAGGGGCACCCAGAAAGGTAGCCTCATTTTGCATTATTCCAAGTTTGGCTCAGTCTTGACTTGGCAGTGATCTTGGTTACAGAAACATGGTCCACGATGGGTTAGATAACATGTGCATAAAATGATATTAGTACTTTTCTTCCTATCCCTATGTGTCTCCCGACTATTGTCTTGGTTTGGTTAACCAGGTACTGAAGTTCCTATTGGAAAGAAAGAGTCTGATCTACCCATATCCCTAAGTAGTGGAAGACCTGAACCCACTCAAGTGTTGTGAATGTGGGAACGAACACAGCTCCATACCGCTAACTAAGATGCATACCAGTGATAAAAACATGCAAAACAAGTAAGTACCGAATTGGAAATGGCAGGGATTTCCAGTATATATACACACACCCCTCATTCTGCTAAGACAAGGCAGAGAGAGAGAAAGAGAAAAGCAAGATGTCAGTTCTATACAACTCTGAGAGGAGTTTCCAAGGACTTTGTTAGGAAGGTTTGGTGGACAAAGGATTCTCAACATTCTAGTCAATTTCATGGCTGATATTCTTGGCAGTTTCCTTGGCATCCATCGCAACCGCCCTCAGGAAATCTGGATTCTTAGGAGTGCTCTGTCTTTGAAAATGTTTGACCTCCTTTATCCCATCGTTATAGTAGCCAAAGTCTTTCCTGGCCCAAGATCGGAATTTAGGAATGGCCTATGGGGCTGCGTGATTTATGGCACTGACTAATCTGGCCTCGAACACGTCCATGCTCTCGAACTATGAGGGCTCTTTGCATCTATGACATTCGGCCAATGCATTCTGAAAGGCTTGCCAGTTGGTCATACCTATCTTTCTTCTATAATTATGCTGTGGCATAGAGGCAGCATTCAAGAGGATAGTGACAGTGCCATAGTGATTACTCATGATAGGCCCATCAATAGATTATCTGATTTTCTCCACCAGATCCGCAGTAGGGAAGGACCTCCTCTGATATGTGTTGCCTTATGGGTGCTGAAAAGAGTGATTTTAAGGCATGGCTTCAGCATTGAAGTCTCCCCCCCCCCAATGGTCTATTTTACACATTGTACGGTTTGAAGGGCCCCCAATTCAGGGGGATTTCAGTGGAGAGAGATCCAACACCATCTTTACAGTATGGTGGATTGACTATCATGGAATAAGATTGTCACTCTGACCAGGGTGATCAAGCCTCTGGTACCTGCAGTGTTTGGCAACACAAAGGTATAATACCCTGATAAGTGGACAGATGTAGCAAGGCAGTTTAGTTTTCCTTGATTGTACTAAGAAAGAAGCCATTGTGTTCCACTGTGGAATGCATAGATCATGCGTCATGATGCTACTTTGAATCGAGTAATGGAAGCTAGTTTAGACAGATCCTGCTTCCTTTCCTTAAAGCTGCGACATTCTGGTCCATTGCTGCCATGGCTACCCTAACTCCCTTCTCCGCCTCCTCATTCGTCTTTCCCAAAACTGTCGCTGCTGCAGTTACTACAGCAGTCAGGATTTCTGTAACTCTTCCAAGACTCGTTTTTTTTGCGATCACACACAAGGGCTAGTAACTGTTGTTTTTTAACAGCTTCCTGTCGCGTGAGGGCCATTTCCTGACGGAAGCCGCGCTCAAGACTAAGCACAGTTGGAACATTTAGCTGCTGTGCTCCTTGTACCTTCCTTATGAGCCTATTTCCGTATTTATTTCTGGCACGTGAAGCACCAAAGAGGCTCAGGCACATAGGCCATAAGGCTATAAGAACCCTAGTTTCCCAGGTCAAAAGATGTGATTAAGGCACCTTTCTTCTTTTTGTCAAGCGGGAATCCCCAACAACTTGGGGTGTGATTTGATCACCTCCCCGTCATTCATCACTATCTTTTAGAGTCAGTGGTGATATGTTCACCTTCCTCCCATCATTGAGTTCCACTGTTTTCTGCAGCCCACTCAGGGGAGTTTGATCATTAGAAACGATAATCATGTTCTTTTTCCTCGCAGAAGTCGAATGCTCTAACCAATTGGAACGAAATGTCGGAACACACACACACACACACACACACACACACACACACACACACACACACACACACACACACACACACACACATATATATATATATATTATATATATATATATACATACATACATACATACATACATACACACACACACACACACACACACACACACACACACACACACACACACACACACACACACACACACACACACACACACACACACACACATACACACACACACACACACACACGCATGTGTGCATGTGTGTGTTTGTGTATTTGTGTATT